CACCAAGCCCGGGTCACCGGTTTGCACTGCCTCTTTTGTGGGTACCAGACCTGGATTCTGGCTCTCATCGTCTCACCGCAAAACATCAGGCCTGATTCTCGGACTTCAAGTGTCGTGTCAAGGGTCACGCGCTCACGAACGGTCCAGATTGATTCGCCGATTTCGACAGCTTTTTCTTCAACGCGTTTTGCAACATTTCGGGCGCTAAAGCTGGTCGAGGTGTGCGTCTAACATCAAGGCGTCGACCAACGTGCTGTTGCTATTTATTTTGATCTGATTTAATTTTTCTATTTGATTTAATGATAATGTTCATGTCGGTAATGCGAATATGTGCGAGGCACAGTTGCTTTATGAATCATCGGGCAAGCCTTGGGTATCCGCATTTTAGAAAACGCAACACGCTTCCGTCAAAAACCATCATAGTGTCGCAGCGAAAACTGCATCGCTGCATGCACAAATCCATTGCATCCATTTCTCTCTTTGGGCATTGCTTTGTGCACATTAGCTTTAAAGCACGAGTGCCACCGAAAAGGTTACAAATTGGCCGTGTCTCGACGCCAAATGCCACCGATCGATCGCCCAGTCGCAGCCGCCGACGGAGAGCGCACGCGCTGTGTGTGAGTCGACGGCCAGAAGTAGTTTATTGAGCTTTCGCTCATTCAGTGGTTACAGCAAAAGTGGGATTGTGACAACAGAATCGACCATGGCAAAATTTGTGTGGAGATATGGGTAGATCGGACAGCACAGACGTGACGAATAATTTGCAAACTGTGTAGCGAAAAGACGAGCTAGTTATGTTGCATGCAAGGCACACTGCAGCCAGAAAGCGGCACGCACAAGATCTGTACACAACGCGTGTTGCCACCGCTGCAACGTGCGACAGGCAAATTGCAGCAGCAATGACAAGTAGCAGTTGAGATATGGCAGATCCAGTGTTGGCAGCGGCGACAATAGCAGTTTTTTTCGAAGCGTCCGGAATGTTTCATCAAACCCCAAGTTGCAACGGTCTTTGAGTGCTGAACATTTGGCATTGAAAGCAGGCACGCGATGATGAGAGTGAAGCGCCTGGGACGTGTGGCTGCGGTCCTTCTGTGCCGCTGCCGTATTTTTCATGTTGTGGAATCTGATTCGGAGAACATTTCGGTGCCTATTTAGCTTGAGAAGAACGTTCTTTGCTCAGGAAAGTTGCGGTTACTTCGACTTTGTGTCAGCAAGCATTACGATTAATCTAACTTGAACTGTCGCCAGTTAACTTCAGCGGGTAATATGAGGCTTGGCTCGACTTCTTCAGCAGCGAAGTACCCACTTCTATTTGTTGTATATGTTTTTGTCGTCACTTTGAGGCCAAATATGAAAGGCGTCAGCCCACGTCCCGCTACCATCGCGGTTGAGAATAGCTCCAACTCGGCGATGGCTAGCGCACTTTTGTTCTGCGTCGTAAACACCACTTCGATCGTGCATAATTGTTTGCGCCTCGTTGGTGCTGGCTAAATGGCCTCATGTACTTTGACTAATTCGTGCGTTTTGGAGCCAAGGTCATTAGTGCTACACAGTGCAGCCTAGAAATGCTGCCAAGAAACACAAAATACAGGAAATACAAGACCAGCGCAATACAGAATACAGCCAGCAACACTTGACATTCATTCTTCTTTCTACTGAACTTCACTGCCAAGGCAGTCGTGCGTTTTACACCGTGGAGGGTAAAACGTCCGGGGTCCGGGTCCGAAGGGTAACACACGGGCAAGATTGACTGCACTGTCGCCGTCGGCAGCAGCGGTGCGCAAGCGTTCATGACTAATGACCCCAGCATGCGTCTTTTCACTGAACGATCAGGGCCGATCAACCCAGCAGCGGCAGAGGGTCTGGCCTTTAGTGGTAGACGTGAATGGTCGCGCAGCCAGCGAGAGGGAGGTGACAGCTCATGCCTGAGGGTCTCTGGTTCGGTCTGACCCGGCGTTGGACTGGGATATGGCTGGTGCGGCGGCTAACCGACGTTCGTCCGGTTCACTGCCCAAAAGCACTTCGCACACCTCTGCATACAACTCACACAATACGAACAAGGCGGCGAAATAAATGTTGCGGACGGCTGCCTCTAGCTGTGCTGTTAACAGACGCCGCTGCTGGCAAACAAGAATACTACTCAATTGATGCAAAGCTTTTGTTTTAGACCATTCAATCATTAAACAGGTCACATAGATAGGGCAACAGTGTTAGCCTTATTCCTCGGAGAAAAACAAGGAGAATGGAGATATAGTTGTGTTGATATTTCGGCAACATGCCTGTAACGAAACAGTAGCTGAAGGGAATTATTATGAATACAAATTCACTTCACCTCTTGTTACGATAAAGGCGTGCTGCCAAAATATCAACCCAACTATGTCTCCATTCTCTTGGTTTGTCTCCGATGAATAAGGCTAATGCTGCTGTCTTATCTCTGTGAATAATGCTCCTCGCTAATGTACTGAACAACTTGCGTAGTTTCAAGCAGGCCACCATTAAAAAAGAGATTGATAGTTTTTCAATGGAAACTAGGCTAGTTCCAGGAACAGGTATATCAAGATGTTGGAGTTCAATGACAACAGTATGAATCTGAAATGGCTTCATCCATGCGAAAAAACGTTCCGAGACATGCGCTGTGATGGCACCGCGCACCGCCCTCCACCAATGCACACCGCCCTCCACCACCGCGCACCGCCCACCGATGGCGCTGTCCTCTCCAGGATCAGTCGGTGCAATAATCTCCATTTCTGAGCTGACAGCACAAATGCATCATTCATACAAATGAACCTACAATTATTGTGGTACGACATTGCTATCAGCGATATTACGACATTAGACTGCTGGGTGCGTAAAACACCTAGCTTATTCTTAAAGAGAATGCTTCAACATTTATGTGGAGTTTTTGAACACAAATAGACATCCCGAAGACCTTTCGGTGCTGTTCACAATGCTGTCCTTCCCAAAACCTAAGCCCATCTAGTTTCTAAGCTACACGCCCGCGAAAATCAGAATGGCTTGTCGGGGAGAGCATTTCAAAGTCACATTGGCATCCATGATTTCATGGCAAAGTCATTCAAATCCCGCCATTACACAAGCCATGCGGCGATCAATGCCAGACAATCTAATTGGCGAGGCGTTCATATCTGGCGTTCGTGAGCGCGATTTCCAGATAAAGCGGTGACCAAGTGGCTCTCAATCAATGTTGTGCAATGTATGATGACGTACTCAAACCATGACGCATCGAGGAGGATACTTATTCAACAGAACATTGTGCTGCTTAGAGCAGTCTTTTCCACTTAAAAGGCATACCAAAAATTAAGAGTGAGCTTACTTCTCCATACATCAGTCTTGCTTCATTTTCTTTAAATGTGGAACATTGTCTTTAGATTTATTGTGGGAACTAAAGTGGATTGTGCTGTACCATTGGGGTGCTGGCCTGATGAGATGTCCACCTTTCTTGACAGCGCTTGAAAACAGACTGCGTTCCATCGTGATTGTTTACCTAGTTAGATAATTTCATAAACAATGGCGTAGCCCCAAAAGTGGTCTGACTTATATGCATAACACATCTTTCCATTTCAGCTATGAAAGCTGTACATCCCTTTTACTATGACGTTCATCCGCTGTGCAACTGAATACTGTTTCTTCTTCCAGCTATTCCCGAAAATCCAGGTCATCTTCGTTTGAAAACCAATAAGAATGTCACTTTCGTATCTGCAAAATAGGCACAGTTTGATATTTGGCAAAATCCCTACTCTCCACATTATATTTTTCAGCAAACAACACGCCTAACGGAAACCTCAAAGCAACACCGGCAACCTGTTTAACGTGTCGCTTTTTGGACATGGGCATGGCATGGACATGGCGTGGACATAGCGGCCTCGTCAATACATAAACGCAACATTTTCTCACGAATGGGACGGTTGACGCAGGGAGCTGGATGAGGCAAGTGGTGTTAGACAACGCCCAGCATATCGACGGCAGCGTCAACAGTGACGTCATTGAACAAAGATATTATGCCCGGACAACCCAGCCCGCCTCACATCAAATGTGTATGCATTTACCAATTCCATGAACTCATTACTGGATAACCCAAGGCTGCAGTTTCCATATGCCTGATTATATTTCCTAGGAAGGAAACGCTGCATTGATTTTATATGGAACACAGCCTCCTCCCAGCTTGGTTCTATATATATATATATATATATATATATATATATATATATATATATATATATATATGGGGGTGCGTGCGTACGTGTGTGCGTGCGCACGTGCGTACGTGCCAACCAACCAGCTATCAGCGCAAAAGCTTACGCTGTCAATTCTGCGGAAGCGTGCACCACAATTCATTGTCCAGATAAGCCCGAGTGTGACGCGTCCCAGACCACCCGGCGTCCCAGCCTGGAGAGCGCCTCGTCAGTCACGCCAGGCCAGTCATGTGCGTTGATAACCGGACTGTATGGCGCAGCGGTGATCGCCAGCACGCGCGCCGGTCACGCCGAGCACGGCGCTCGTGGCCAAAACGCACGTGACACCATCTCTGGCGCCATCCGCCGCCACCTCTGGCGCCATCCACCATCTCTGGCGCCATCCGCCACCATGGCGCCATCTGCCGCCATCCGCCATCTCTAGCGCCGTCCGCCGCCATCTCCGGTGTCATCCGCCATCTCTGCTGCCATCCGCCATCTCTGGCGCCATCCGCCGCCATCTCCGGCGCCATCCGCCGCCATCTCTGGCGCCATCCACCATCTCTAGCGTCATCCGCCGCCATCCCTGGTGCCATCCGCCGCCGCCGCCGGACGCCAGGAGCCCTAACGGTCGCTCAGAACGTGCCGCAGAGGACGGCATTGTTCCCGCTAACGCGGTCCGCCGGGAGGGGCCGGCACACAAGGGCGATATCTGGCGCCGACGGAGCGGACGATCGCCCCCGAGCCGTGGCTCCAGCTAATGGGGCCAGCTTTCCGCAGAGAACTTCGCCTCCCACTCACAATTAGGACCAGTCATCATATATTGCGGTATTAACAGAGAATGGACTGGCTTCGGACAGGCGGTCGGCGGGAGCGTCCCAGTCCGGGCAGCCTCAACAAGATCCTGTCATCCGCGCACAAAGCAATAGAGAGACGCGTGAGCTGTGTATAAACTAACGCGAGGAAAACCTAAAAGTGGTTGCTAGCAAAATGTTTCCACATGCATGTCTAAGACTACGTCAAAACGAACATGGTGTACACGCCTTCTTTATCACAGCAGTAGCTCCGGGGCAAGAGGACTCACAAATTTTGTAACTCAGCAGTAGAGAAACGGTGGCTAATGCCACTTACAAGATCTTACAAAACACTGTAGCAAGCAGGCGTAGTGTAAACTGCAGCACTTACGAGCAAGTATAACACAGCCTATTCAAGTAAAAATGTACAGGTGCTAAGCACAGAAGAGAAACAAATCAGCGCATAAAAAACTCATACAGCGGAAAACACAGAAATACCGTAGGGGCATAGAATGATTAGTAAAAAGCCCAATGCATTCAAGAACTCGATATTAAACAAGTTCGGGAATTCCACACCATCCACAACCATCTCTGCCAGTTTCCGGACACAGTTGCTCCCAAAATACGCCTGACAGCACTAGACACCCATAACTATTCGTACCGTTAAGCCAGCCGCGTCAGCTGACTGATCGGCGGCTCCAGGTCCCGCCAGCACTGCGAGCGCCGGCGACACGTCTCGGGCGTCGACCGCGACACCGCGGGCTCGGCCGCCGGCGGCCGCCGCTGGTCTCAGTGCACGCCCGTATCACAGTTTGGTAGGGCCGGCGCGCCGCCGGGCGCTCCGGCGGCGGCGGCTAGTTGTGCGCCGCCCGGTGGCCGCGCATGTACGCGGTCCAGCGGTCGGCCAGCTCGGCGAACAGCGTGTGCTCCCGCTCCATGGTGGCCAGCACCAGCAGCTGGTTGACGTGCGTCACGTGGTAGTCCCAGCGCGCCAGGTTGGGCGGCCCGCCTCCGGTCACGTGGCGCAGGTCGTATAGCGTGCCGGAGCCGGTGTCGAAGAGCGGCAGCAGGGCGCGCAGTGATGTCAGCCCAGCGGCGTACAGCCGGCCCGCCTCGCCGCCCTCGCCCTCCGTCCGCCACAGGTCGTACAGGCCCATCAGCGAGTAGATGAAGCCGTTGAGCACCAGCGACGATGGCACGGTGGGGTACTCCTCGTACCAGACGTACTTGTCCTGGCGGCGGCGGCGGACGGTCAGTGGAGCGCGCGCCGCGGGCACGCACGCTCAGGCGCCCCGTACGATCAGCAGGACGGCACGGGAGGCTCGTCACTGAGGATCCCATCCTCCCCTGGCGTCAACTTGTTCAGGATAAACAAATGGTGTCACTGGTATCAGGTTTGATACGTTATTTGTTAAGCCCCTTTGACAAAAACAGTCAATCCACCATTCATCAAGGGCAGCATACAGGTATCGTGTGAGCTCCATGCCGCACGTGCCCAACTACGCGCAGCCCTAGGTAGGGTCGATGCAGAGCCACGTACATTTGTCAGCATTCGCCCCACAGCTGCCGGACCACTGTGAACACCAAGCACGTCGCCGGTGGCTGCGGCGAACCCCATTCGGTCGGCCTGGCGTCACAGCTGCCCGGGTACGGTGACGGGCGGGGGGGGGGGGGGCTCACCTGGAACAAGGTCCACACGCCGCGCGGAGGGGAGGGCTTACCTGGAACAGGGTCCGCACGCCACGCGGAGGGGGAGGGGGCTCACCTGAAACAGGGTCCGCGCGCCACGCGGAGGGGGGGGGGGAGGCTCACCTAGAACAAGGCCCGCCACACACCGCGCGGAAGGGGGGCTCACCTGGAACAAGGTCCGCACGCCGCGCGGAGGGGGGAGGCTCACCTGGAACAAGGTCCACACGCCGCGCGGAGGGGGGGCTCACCTGGAACAAGGTCCACACACCGCGCGGAGGGGGGGGGGGGCTCACCTGGAACAAGGTCCGCACGCCGCCATCCCGGCTGTCCACGGAAAACGGGCCGGCGGCCCGACGCGCGGCGTCCAGGTAGCGGCGGTCCCCCGTCACGCGGTACGCCCGGGTCAGCAGTGACATGGCCTGCGGGCAAGACGGCCGGGTCACGCGGCGGACGGCAGGAACCTCGCCGGGACACGTACGTCCAGCCATCAGCCATCGATCGCCGAGCGTCCCAACGATAGTCGATAGCGCACAGTTAGCTGGGTGTTTTGACGAAATGGCGTCTGCAGCGACAACGGCGGTACCTTGGCAGCCAGGGACCTTTCGAGGCGGAGACACGTACACCCTGCGAAGCAAATCAAGAGCTTGTTTGCACGGGACCCCTGAGCCAAACGACGGTAAGAGTCAGGCCTTTGAAGTGAGCCAACAACGCCACGGGTTAGCGTTCGTACTAAACACGATTCGGTAACAGCGGGGCACGCTCCCGCCGTCTCAAAAACTCCTTTGATCTCTAAAACAGTGTGTCAGGTTTCAGTAGCAGCTCGCTAACCAATGACCGCATGCCCTTTGGTTGACACTCAACATTAACACTCACAGACGCTGTTTTTTACAGCACGAGAAGGAGCTGGATTACGTAAACTACGCATCTGATTACGCACCCTACTCTGGCTTTGATTCAAACCAAGGCTTTCACGTACGTAAAACACCAAAACAACGCATGAGTCGTACTTGACTTTGGTTTTAACGTCCAACATGCCTGTCTGTATGCATGCAGGTAAACATGCATGTATGCATATATATATATATATATATATATATATATATATATATATATATATATATATATATATACAAATACATACCGCGTGCGTACGTGCGTGCGTGTGCGCGTGTGTGTGTGTGTGTGTGTGTGGTGTGTGTGCGTGCGTGCGTGCGTGCGTGCGTGCGTGCGTGCGTGCGTGCGTGCGTGCGTGCGTGCGTGCGTGCTGTGCGTGTGTGTGTGTGTGTGTGTGTGTGTGTGTGTGTGTGTGTGTGTGTGTGTGTGTGTGTGTGTGTGTGTGTGTTTGTGGTGTGCGTGTGTGTGTGCGCGCGCATTTTAACGACAGCGATATCCGACTGTCGTCACGTGCAGAAGTGGAGACGGTTGACAGTTCCAAGTATAAGACCGCGGGCTGAGAGCTGAAAGAATCATGCCGCCAGCCAACTCAATACTGTTTGTCAGGCCCCTGTCATCCCCTCAGCGGCCACAGCGACACTAATTCCACTGACTTTATCATCCCCCGTCCAATCAGACGGCTCCCGCACACCTCGTGGTGCGGTTCTCAAACCAGAATTACGAGCAGCCAATGGCGTAACGGGCCACGTGACTTAGCGGTCAAATCGTCGGATGACCGTACCTGGCGGATAGGGTCTTGCTGTTTGCTGTTTGATTTGGAAAGCAATCCCACGCACCAGACTGGAAATGTGCCCTCGCACACACGTCCAGGGGGACCTCTAGCACATTAACTATGACATATTTACAGCTGGGTGTTCGGATATATGAGCTATTACCTGAGGGTTCGCCGATGAGTCTCGTAAAGCTTACTCCGTATTCTGCCATATTCGAATGTCTCCCGTCGGACCGTCTTACACTGCTTTGCTCATGGGAATAAATGCCCTTGAAGCGTTGGCTAGCTTAACCTAATATACATAACTATAGGCGAGCTGATTTATGACGCACCAGAAACAATGAAGGATTCAATTCGAGCAATCTATATATTGCCATGACTATCTCGATTTTCCGCGGTGTTGATATTGCCTTTGTGGCAACCAAAACTTTAAATTTACGGGTTTCAATTGTTCACGGTCTTTTTCTAAAAGGATTTCTTGATTCCGTGGCTTCCAGCATTTCAGCTCCCAACATGACGGCCCCTCCCTCCAAGCGGGCGTTGGTAGGCTGTGCCGCACCGCAACGGCGCAAGCCGGGCCAATCCGAGCTTCCCTGCGAGAGACCAGTGCCAAACGAACGCGAATGTGGCGCGTCGGCGCGTATCTGTTGTTGTCCGGCGCGACCGTTCTCCGATCCAGCCCGTGCCTGCCCCCATTGGCGTGATCATCCCCTGCATGCACCCCGCACATGTCCCTGACCGGCGTGACTGTCCTCTGCTTCTGCCCGTGCCTGTCCCTGGTCAGCGTGACTGTCCCCTGCTTCTGCCCGTGCCTGTCCCTGGTCAGCGTGACCGTCCTCTGTTTCTGCCCGTGCCTGTCCCTGGTCAGCGTGACTGTCCCCTGCTTCTGCCCGTACCTGTCCCTGGTCAGCGTGAGTCCCTTGCTTCTGCCCGTGCCTGTCCCTGGTCAGCGTGACTGTCCCCTGCTTCTGCCCGTACCTGTCCCTGGTCAGCGTGACTGTCCCCTGCTTCTGCCCGTACCTGTCCCTGGGCCATGGCCGAGCTCCAGTGCGGCTTGAGCAGCATGTGGTCGTTGAGCCGGCGCTCTACGGGCACGGTCCAGGCGCCCGAGGCCGTCTGACTCTGCAGCAGCCAGTCGGCCGCCTGCAGGAACTGGCCCGCGTGGTCGGTGCTGGCCAGCGCGAGCCGCTGCAGCCGGCCGCCGCCCCACACGTGGATCGCCCGCACACGCATGCGGCTGGCAACGAGCTTCTGCGCGCCGCCGCCGCCGCCCCCGCCGCCGCGACCCCGGCTCGACAGGCCCTTCAGCGCGTCCACGCTAAGGTCGCGGATGAAGTGTTTGTAACCGCTCCAGCTGCGCCCCAGGCCGATGAAGACGTCGGTGCCCTGCAGGGAGCGCGCCGTCATCAGGTGAAAAGCGCAGGTGAAGTGGTCGGGTCAGCTGGCCGGGTCACACGACAGTGAAGCATCGCCACACTGAAGAGGACTCACAACACGACACTAAGTAACCATGGCGAATGAGGCGTAGATCAGCTGTACAAAACGAGTCCGCGCGGAGGTGACTTTCGATCCTCGACGATCGAAAGCTGGTGTCGTTTGAAGGGTTAAGTGGGGTAATGGGCGCGGATCTCGCCAATCGGTCCCAAATTAACCTGACAGGAAACGAAAAAGGAATGGTGGGTAGCCTGGTGTTCAGGAGCCCATCAATGTCGGGCTCGCTCTCTTGGGGCCAGCGGGCGGTCGCCCACGTCAGGTCGAACCAAACAAATGGGGACTAGGAAGCCAACAAAGTACGACTCTCCAGTGCACCAGGCGGCATTGAATCTGGCCAAGCGAGCACAAATTTGTGTTCTGAATAGGATGAACTGCAAAATCAAACAGACAACGGGCAGCGATGGCACGGCTCAAATGGGAGCACGGTCGCCTTAGAGCCGCGTGTGAGACGCCCAACCCGATACTCCACCCAGCTGGTCCGCTATTCCCACGCCGTTTGGTGCAGGACGAGATTGCGCTAAATCACCTCAAATGCGGAGTGCGCCGATAAGCACCAATAATTGATCAGCAGATTTGGTGCAAGCAAACAATCATGACCTTTCAAAGGTCGTATCAGGTCATCGCAGGGTAAGGACCTCGTCCGACACTTAACAGCTCATCAGCCTCCTGATGTCCGTCCTGATAGCTAAGTTGGTTAGAGCGCCTGTTCTAATCGCTTTAAGCGCTCGCTGTTTGCCCTGGACTGGTATGGCCTGCGGCCGGTGCAGCGACCGTGCTAAAGCCCGGGTGACGTCAGAGGGCAGGACAGACCGTGCCGAGCATTGCGGCACGTTAATCTTGCGACACCACATCATGGCGTTGACCTGTAATTGTACCGTCGGTTGCCAGGGGTCAGAGCTTACAAAACAAACACTGCTAAGCGTGAGCTCTAATCCCAGAAATATATACATTCAAAACGTTCGGATTAAATATTTACAGAAGACAAATGCACTTGCAAAAGGTACCTGCGCGACTCTTCACTATCTGTCTACGCTGACTTGAGCCAAAAATATCTTTCGTTACCTATGATCAATAAATACCGACATGTGACTTCAAAATCCCCCATGCAAGCATCCGGGGAGGATATTGCAACACTGTATGGCCTGGTTTGATTTCATAGGGACGGGGGAAAACACACACAACACACACACACACACAACACACACACACACACACACACACACACACACACACACACACACACACACACACACACACACACACACACGCACACGCACGCGCACGCGCACGCGCACGCGCACGCGCACGCGCACGCGCACGCGCACGCGCACACGCACATGTATATATATATATATACATATAACGCCGTAGTCGCACACCATTTTCTAGTCATTAACTGTAGTGGCCATATTCACGCTAATGGGCCATGGCGTCACCAGAGTTCGATCCCGGGGCTCCCCTATGGGAGCCGGAGGTGCTAACCGCTCGGCCATTATGCTCCTTTCCGTGGCCTCAGGAGTTCCGCTGCGGAGGGAGGGTGGCACCCAATCCCGGCCTAGCCCGGCGAATGCTAAAAACGTGTACAGGACCAATGTTGCGCATTAGCAAGCGCTCGGGTGGGGGTCAATTTGAACCCCCGAAGGTTTTTCCGAAACGGTTTCCGAACGACGTCGCGCAGCCGCGCAAAATTCTGCGTAGCTGTAGACAATTGAATGGCAGATCATATGGTATCAAAATTTTATACTTACCTTGTAAGGTCGCTGACCTGCAGCAGGTCAAGGTTAGGCCATGGATTCAGCGGTCAATTCCTAGGGAACCATTCAATCTGATGCAACAATGAAGTGTTAGACGAAGTCATACATCTCTGAGATGCTTTCTTAAGCAACAAAGCGATTGAATGAACAAACTCCACTGAAATTGGGTTAGGTATTAAGGTCAGACCAAGATCAAAACCAAGCTGTTTTATTACTCTAGGGCTTGCTGTATGAGGTGGTTTCTGGTGCACATTTCGAACCTATTGATAACAGTAACCACATTATACAATCTCCATGGACTTCTTAAAGGTCAGAAAAAGTCACTGACTTAAAATGGCCTAGGCCAATATCTTGTTTTAGGAGCATAATGCCTGGCGTGATCTTTGCCGCTTATTCAAATGCAAGACCAAAAGCAGTCTTGTGTGATTTTGGTCATCATGACCCTCGAAAGGTCAAACAAGGTCACTCACAAATAAGCATGCGAACTTTTGCTTAGAGCAGGAGTCCAGATTCTGGGGGCACTTTGGATACCAGCCTGGAGTTTGACCTTGGTTGACTTTATTTGACCTGAAGGTCGTGACCAGGGAGCCTCAAAGTCTGACTCAAGTGACTCCATGTGTACGCCAACACACCCTGTGAATTTGGTGTCTCTAGCTCTCTTAGTTTCTAAGATCTCAGGGGGTCAAATTGACCTCAGAGCCATTTACCTCAACCGGCCACCCGGGTGCGTGTTAATAGTTCGATACGCTTGTTCTTATCAACGGACTTCAACTTCTTCACGGTTTATTCGTGCAGTCAAATAAATATTCATCTGACTTAACAGCTAAGCAATCCTACAGAATATGTAACCAGTATGCTGACCATAAATTCAAGGTCTTGATCGTAAACATCGGATTCCGGAAAACAGTTTCACGTTCGGCCGAGCGAAAATAACAACACGCTAAAATAAACTATCTGCCTGCTGCGCTCGTCCGAAAACACTAGAAGACGCAACCTACTGCACCGCCCGGCGGTAACTTGAGAAAGGAATCACATTGATAGCTTGGTGTTATGATGTGTTTTTGGAGGCTTTGGGTATATTTTAATTGTTTTCTTTTACTGCATAAAATGGAGATACCCGCTCCTCTTTCGATGCTTATTTGTTTGTTTTTTTCTTAGCACCGTCGCCTGCGGAAGAGCCACATCGCGCGCTGGTGCATGCTCGGCTCCATGCCTAAAAGTAGGACCAATTCTGGGGGTCGGGCATCAGTCATCAGGCATGATGGTATAAGCGTTATTCAACGAAAATACAGAGCGAACGGTTGGCTTTTTGTCGAAGTGTCCACGATTCATGCGACAACGAATCGAAGCGTGACTTTGTGCTATCGCTTTACGAACCCTGACCACCAAAGCGGCCGGTCAATTCACCATCGTTTACATAACACAAGCTCAGGACACAACCGGTGACTGCGACAACTGCATACAGAGGCTACAACACCGTGTAAGCCTTCGCTTTAACGCGGATAACCCTAACAAAAATAATGCTTAACTCAAAGAGCCAGTATCTGTCCCGAAACATGTCAAACTGATCATTGGCCGGCGCTGGCAATTCTGTAACTGAACTGACACGGTTCGAGAAGACGTCCCCAAGTTGAGCGCGGAGTTAGCTCCCACACCCACCCCCACTTTCCCTGCCCCAGGCGGGCCGCGATTCAAGGCAACTTAACCGAGCGTTTCGTAATTCTTTGCTAAGCATGGCTTGTCGCGAGAGCCCCGAACCCATCACCGCAGAGGGGCAACTCTCGTTCGACCGAAATCATTAGCCGATAGTGTACCGTGCCGCGACGTCAGTGCAGCTTCTGCTCCAGCCGGCCTATCGCCAGCTGACAGTCAGCGACCAGCCCCGTACGTGCGGCTCCAAGGACGCCATCCCATGCGGTGCTCCACCAGCGGAGCTGCGGGGACGGCACGGCGGCTGCCAGACATGACCACCTCCGCCGGCTAGGCCTGCGCCCGGCGTCCGAATGACAAACAAAGGAATGCTAAACACACGCGCGCGCGCGCGCGCACGCACGCACGCACGCACGCACGCACGCACGCACGCACGCACCCACACACACACACACACACACAACACACACACACACACACACACCCACACCACACACACACACACCACACACACACACCACACCCGCTCGAGAATAATGAAGGAGTAATGGCTGGCGGTAAACGGAGCAGCACAGTGCCAGGCCGCGGCGCAATGACGTCAGTATGGCCGGCGTCCGTCCGGTGTCACAATGGGCCCGCTGAGCAGGCGCCGCCAGCCAGCGTGACCCGTGGCTCGGAGCCGGTGTCCGCCCAGCGTCGCAGTGGGCCCGCCGAGCAGGCGCCGCCAGCCAGCGTGACCCGTGGCTCGGAGCCGGTGTCCGTCCAGCGTTTTCCATCGGCTGATTCTGCATAACGCTGCTGTTGAATTTCGTGCCGTTGAAGCATGCTGCAGATTTTCGCTTCCGCACTGCACTTCACCGGCATGGGTGAAGTCAAGGTAACGGATGCAACTATCGGTGAGTATCGGGCTGTTTACCTGGCTGCCTTTCACACCGACAACGTCTGCTCCCTGTCAACGGACCTCAGTCGTAGCGGCCCAAGCCGTCCGACCAGAGCTGCCCTAAGCTTGTCATGCCACGCTGTTACAGAACACAAGCGGGCGCCCGGCAGGGCCAGCGCCGGGGGGGGGGGGGCACGGTACTGAAACCCACCGGGCATGGGACATGCAAGGCGAGAAACCAACTATAATTCCTTTAAAACCATTCCTTTCTTGAGTGTTGGTTGCCATCACTCTGCCAGGCATTCCCTCCAGTGCAATCGCTACTTACAAAATAGAGTAATTGCGCACCATCACTCCAGGTGGCACCAGAAGGTCGCGCTAGCCCATCACACCTGGCAACAGATGGCACGCGCCCAGCCCCGAGCCACAGCCGCCCTCGCGTGAGGGGGCAA